GAGGCAAGCTTCGAGAAATCCTTCACGAATTTGTGGTAGTAGCCGGCTAGTCCAAGGAAGCTTCGGATTTCCTTTGCGTTCTTCGGAACTGACCAATTTGACACGGCTTCTATCTTGCTGGGGTCGACGGAGATTCCTTGTGCTGAAACAATGTGACCAAGGAAAGTCACACTCGAAAGCCAGAACTCGCATTTGCTGAACTTGGCGTATAGTTGATGCGATCGGAGGGTTTGGAGTACGATACGAAGGTGGGACATATGATCTTCTTGGGTCTTTGAGTAGATGAGAATGTCGTCGATGAAGACAATCACGAACTGGTCCAAGTATTGATGAAAGACTCGGTTCATAAGGTCCATGAAAGCTGCGGGGGCGTTGGTTAAACCGAAGGTCATGACGACAAATTCGTAGTGGCCGTATCGGGTTCTGAAAGCCGTTTTGGGGATATCAGATTCTTTGATTTTGAGTTGGTGATAACCGGATCGGAGATCGATTTTCGAGAAAACTGATGAGCCTTGAAGTTGGTCGAAGAGATCATCAATTCGAGGAAGAGGGTATTTATTCTTGATCGTGACTTTGTTGAGTTCACGGTAGTCGATGCAAAGGCGGAGGGATCCGTCTTTCTTTTTGACAAAGAGAACCGGTGCGCCCCACGGGGAATGGCTGGGTCGAACATAGCCTTTGTCGAGTAATTCTTGGACTTGGTCCTTCAGTTCCTTCAATTCCATCGGGGCCATACGGTACGGGGCTTTGGAAATTGGCGTAGCGCCGGGAATCAGATTGATTTCGAACTCGATTTCTCGATCGGGTGGAAGTCCGGGAATGTCATCGGGAAATACGTTGGGAAATTCTTGGACGGCTCGAATGTCGGAAATTTGGGCTTTGGGATCGGCCTCGGATTTTAGAATGTCCACTAAGTAGCCGGGATGGCCTTTGTGAATGAGTTTAACTGCTTTGATCGCGGATATGATTGGAATCGAGGGTTTGGGTTGACTTCGGAATTTTAGGGTTCCGCCGTTCGGAAGAGGAAAAATGACCGTTTTCAAGGCACAGTCGATTTGGGCTTTGAATTTGGTTAACCAATCCATGCCTAGTATAACTTTGAAGTTTTGGATCGCTAAGAGGATTAGATCGAAATTCATGGTTTGAGTATGAACTCGGATTGGGCAATTGATTATGACTAGGTTAGAGCACATTTCTTCGCCAGAGGGAATGAGGATTCGGTATTCGTAATTTAATCGGTTCGGTTTGAGATTTAAGTGCGCAATTATGTCTTTCGATATAAAGGAATGAGTAGAGCCGGAATCGATAAGAGCGTAAATGGGTTCTTCGAGGATAAATATGGTACCTGCTATCATAGACGGGTCTTGCTCGATCTGTTCTTGAGTCATGGCGAACACTCGACCGGGGACGTTCGGTGGAGGTTTCGGGCAGTCTTTCACCATGTGTCCGGGCTGATGGCATCGAAAGCAACTCCGTGTTCCGTGTACGCATTCTCCGGAGTGACTCTTTCCACATTTTGGGCAGGTTGGCCTTGGCGGTGGTGGCGGTGGTCCGGTTGGTTGACGAATGGGCTGCGTTCCCTTTCCTCGGAATGGGCGGTTGCCAAAATTGTTCTTTTTCCACGGTCGTTGAGTAACTCCTTGTGGTCGGCGGCTGTTTTGAATGTCTCGTTCGTCTTGGGCAGCCGTGAGTGCTTTGTCTACGAGTTGGCGGAAAGTTGAGGCGTCGGACATACGAATGTCCCTACGGATTTCTGGTTGGAGGCCACGAATGAAGTGATTCTTCTTTTCTTCGGCGTCTCGAGCAATGAATGGGGCGTAGAGGCAGCCACGTTCGAATCGACGGATGTATTCGATCATTGGTAAATCGCTTTGTCGGAGTTTGAGAAATTCTTTGAGTTTGTGGGCTCGCACGTCTTTCGAGAAATATTTTTCGAAAAATTGGACTTTGAAATCGGTCCATGGCAGAGTTTCGAGGTTTGTTCCTTCTTTGATTCCTTCCCACCAGTGACGAGCTTCGTTTCGGAGGAGGAATATGGCACAGTGCACGCGGTCGCAGTCGGTCATTTTCATGTAGTCGTAGATGACTTCGAGAGATTTGATCCACTCTTCGGCTATGGTAGGGTCGGTTCCACCGTGAAATTCGGATGGGTTCATTCGGAGAAATCGTTCGTATATGGCTTGAGGCGCATTATTTTGAGGCGGGGTCTGGTTACGTTGGAGAAGTTGTTCGATTTGACGTTGGTGGTTTTGGGCTTGTTCTCGGATTAAGTTGGAGAGATTATTAATGGTTTGATTGGGGTCGTGTGGTTCATCGGCGGGATTGCTCGGGTTTGCTCGGGTTATACGTCTCGCCATTATTTCTATATTAATTATCATTAATAAGTAAAGCAAATAAAACACACCAAGAAAATAATACACATATGTTACCGGATGGTCCGAGTTTCGCGTCTCGAGTAGTCTTTAAGCCCGTGAAGTTCGTACGAGTATCTATGAACAATGCTCTGATACCACTCGCTGTAGCACCCCCCTTCTAGACGGGCGATAAATCGAACCGGTTTATCGGAATATTTATTTAACTAGCGGAAGCAAAGGATCTCTTTGTAATTTTTTTCTTTTTTTTTTGAAACATTGGGATGGGGTGAAAATGCAATTATCAAAACTTTATTCTTTTGGGTATTGAAGGCTTTGCATTTTCGAAAACTTTGTTGGGTTGCTTTAGCCGAATACAAAGCTTGATTTAGAAATAAGTTTCGAAAGGAGGTTTCTCATTCGAGTGCTACATTCCCACTAAACATTTTTCGGTTCGAGAATAAATCAGAGTTCGGAAAGGTTATTTTTTTGGTGAATAATTCGAAGTTTTCTATCGAAGGTATGAGAATAGCAAATTACGAAGCTTAATATATCAAAGTAGGAATTAAGTACGATTCATAATGAAAAATGAGTTCAAAAGTACGAAAAGAGAAATGTTACGGTTTAGGGTTACACCACCAAAAGAAAATAACCAAAAGTCTAGCATCGTTCATAGGTCCTCGTACGTCTTCCAAAATCCCGGGCAAGACCTCGATCCGCTACTCGATCCATCCCGGTTGAGGATTACTATTACCTGCAATTAAAAGACATCTATATGAGCTATAAAGCTCAGTAAGAAATCCGAGTATTATCGAACTTTGGAAATACGTTATATATAGTATATAATATTGTATACCCGTTCTTACCCACGTTTCGCACAACAACACAAGGCAATCGGCCAAATCACATATCTCACGAAAACACATCATTTAACGAAATCACGCAATTATGCAAAATGACTAAAATCCCCTTTTTTGTGAAAATCATGAAAAACACATTTTTCGGTTTATCGGATCCGTGAAAGATTAATTTCTGTACCGGATAATAAACCTGTTACGAGCCCGTTTTCACTAAGTGGAATCAAACCACTACCACATCATCCTAGTTGGATACCGGCCCACTATATCCGAGTTGTTTATTACCCGATATTCCATTAACCTTTCAAATAAAAATCATTTAATGCAACTTTTCGAAATAATGCTATAACCCACACATGACATCACAAATATCAATCAAGTGTCACAAATCACAAAAATACCACAATTTACCACATAATTATGATTTGGGCAAAAATCCCAAATTCACACACATGAACACACAACCACACACGGCACAATCAACACATTAAACATCCCTAATTACTCATCAAAGCAAGCTCAAGAACAAATACCTTTTTACCTTCATTTAGTGAACTTATTACCACATCTAGGTAATAATCCATTTCAATCAATTTCCCACAGCCATTAAACACATCCAACAGCAATTAAAGTACAAAATACCAAAATTCATAATTCATGACCATTAAATCAAAATATGAACACTTAAGGCACAAAACATATGTAAATGACATGCAATTATCCAAATTTTGAAATATTAGCAAACTAATTCCAAAAATTCTCAAATTAAATCCTAGAACTCCAAACTGACTAAATTTCCAGATTCTGAAATAATTTGAATTTTCTCAAAGTTTCGAATTTTCTTGAAATTAAAACTAGGAAAATTCTTTTTTTCAATTTAAAAATCCAAAACTCAAATATAACTCTAATTGATTTAAAAACTTGTTAGATAAAACTTTTTCCTATCTAATACTTGCTGAAAAACAGATCCAAACTTTAAAAATGAGAGATTTTTCGGAAATTGCAGTTTTGACCCAAAAGTTTCGAAATTTACACATGCAACCACACTAGAAGTTCAAAATCAACTTTTTCATGAAAACCCCTAACAAATCTGAAATTCCACTTTACTAGATGCAGAAAATGAAGTTGAAAAGTTACTTCATGCAGAAATTTCGGAAATTACATATTTTACCCCAAATTCTCTAGATCTACACATGCAAGCCTACTAGAATTTCCAAATCAACTTTTTCTTACAAAAATTCTTTAAATCCGAAATTTTGTTCAATAAATGCTGGAAAACAGTTTTGAAAACATTTTTCGGACAGACTTTACAAAAATTACAGATTTGGCCCAAACTTTCGAAGATCTACACATGCAACCACAAAAAGTTAAAAATTTCATTTTCTTGAAAACCCCTTTTTTGAAATCTGAAATTTTTAAGGCTTTTGGCCAATAAATGCTGTATCTAACCACTAACAACATAGATGATGCATGCAAGAACAAGAATTTAACAAGAACACTCATTTTTCCATTTTTCATCAAAAAGCCCTAAATTTTCGAAATCTTCCCCAATCTTTTAAAATTTCATGAAAATCTTTTCAATACTATTGATGTCCCTTAATTGCAGCAAGAAATCGAATTTCTTACCTTAAAATCGAAGAAAGAAAATAGCCGAAAGGGAGGGGGCTTTCAAGCACCGAAGTCCAACCAAGCCACCTTGATTGTGAAGGAAATGGTGTGAGCTTCAAGGAGGGAGGAGTTGTGATCTCCCGTAAGGAGGCAAGTGGTTTTGATGGTATTTTTGGAGTAGTCTATGGCAAGAGGTAAATAAGGAACCTTCATTTTTATTTTGGGGTTTTCTTTGAAAATGAGAAATGAGGTGGAGAGAGGAGGGCCGATGATGGTGGTGATGGCTTCGGTGGAAGGAGAAGAGGAAGACAAGTAGGGGGTTTAGGTGTTGGAAGAAGAAAGATGAAGGGTGTCTCTTCATCTCACTAATGAGAGTGTTGAGTGTGAGTTTAGGTAAAATGATTAGGGTGTGCCAAGTGTAAAAACATGCACACTTATTCACTAATTATTTATTAATATAATGACAACTTGCATAAACACTACACACACACACCATCCTAACACACACACATTCGGATATATATATATATATATATATATTCAAATGTATAATACAAACATTAGTATATATGTATGTATACGTATGCATGCATGTATGTACGAGTATATATATACATGTATACAATTCACATAATTTACCAAGTTTCAAATAATTTATCAAATAAATAAGAATACGCAATTATTCACATAAACCACGTAATTCACGAAATTTCATAGTATTTCAATTCACGGGAATTTAAATCATATAAATCACATATATATAGCGCACGTAATTATTCACGTAAGTAACATAATTAAATTCACGTGATGCATATAATCACGTAATAATATTCCCTAAGGGTTCTCGAGTTAGGAATATAAATCCCGGGTTTTAGGCTTTTCGGGTTTTGGAAAGGTGGGGTGTTACAATTGTTCTTGTTCGTGGGTGTCTGTTAATGTGTTTTTTGTATTTTGGCCTCGCCTATTTAAGGATCTTGAAACTGCCAGTGTGAAAAAATTGATTGTAGTATGGCCAGTGTTACCTACTTGATGGTTTTTTCGACAATTATGTTCTTGTACTTTTCCACAATTTTAAGCGAAATAATATCAACAATTTTCCCTTTGTGTGTCATTATTCTTGCTGAATCCCTCTTGTTTCTGAATGATTTTTGAAAACAGCCTTGCCATTTGGATTGATGGATATTACCAGAAAATAAGAGGTTACGGTTGTACTCAATCAAGTAATAGATGATATTATGCTTGATATAGTAACTTTTGTTCGGTTTTATTTGTCTGTGAGGCGTCGTCGTCTCACCAGTTCAGCCCATGTTCCGAGATAATATAGTTTGATTGCTAAAGCACCATCTCAAATGAATAATTTGAATGACCTTCTGAGTTTTAATAATGTGACATGTCATGATAATCTTAGAATGAACTTGGACACCTTTAAACGTTTTTGTTACCTTCTTGAACATCTTGGTGGTCTTCTTCCAACAAGAAATGTCCAAATAACCGAACAAGTAGCTATGTTCTTACAAATCTTGGGTCATCATACGAAAAATGTTGTTGTCCGGTCTTCTTTCAAAGGATCTGGGTTCACCGTTAGCAAACATTTCTATGGGGTGTTATAAGCTGTTCTAAAATTATACTCTGTCCTCCTGGTTAACCCTCAACCTATAGATGAAAATTGTGATAATGAGAGGTGGCACTTCTTTAAGGTACACTCGTATTATTGGTGCATATTTTCCTTCAAATTATCATTTTTTCATAATATAAGTTTTATAACATCCATGGCAATATTTTTCCCACGTGATTAGAGTTGTCTCGGTGCTCTAGATGGCACTTATGTTGATGTTAGAGTTTCCTTACTTGACAAACCAAGGTATAGGAATCAGAAGGGTGACATATCTGTTAATGTACTTGTTGTTTGTGATGTTAACCTCAATTTCGTATATGTGTTGACGGGGTGGGAGGGATCTGTCGCGGATAGTAGAGTCATTCGTGATGCTGTCACTAGGGCTAACAAGCTAAGGGTGCCTAAGGGTAAGAACCTTAATAATTCTTATTTTAGAATCCCAAATGAAATACTACGTAATAACAATGTCATGTCAACCTATAGGCCACTACTATCTCGTTGATAATGGCTACACTAGTGAGGAAGATTTTTTGTCACCTTACTGACATGTTAGGTCTCATCTTAAAGATTACGCTGTAGGAACACTTGCACCTCAAGACTACCAAGAATATTTCAACATGAAACACGCTAAAACCCGTAACGTGATAGAGCGTGCATTTGGAATTTTAAAGTCCAGGTTTGGTATTCTTCGGAGTGCCGCATATTACCCAATCAAAGTTCAAAACCGCATTATAATGGCTTGTACTTTAATTCACAACTTTATAAGGACTACGAATGACTACGACCCCGTGGAGGACCTTGTTCCTCAATTTATTACAACCAACGAAAATTCTCCAAACTGTGTCGAAGTTATACGAAATGTCGAGTCATCCCAACAATTGACCGATTGGAGAGGCAATCTTGCGCATAACATGTATAACGAGTGGCGTAGTAGTAATTAGTAAAACCATCTTATATTTTGAACTGTTAATTGTTATGGTTTGGACTATTTTATGAATTGTAATTTTATTTAAATTTATTTTCCCATGACTTTGTAATGTTCAACTGTTTGTGTGTTATTTGTTTTATTGAATAGTACTTTTATTTTTATGTGCTATAAAAATGTGTGATTTTTTCATTTGTATTAGTTATGGAGGGAACTAGCATGTCCCAAAGAAACTCCAATTTGAAAGGGAAATCGGGAATCACACGAAGGACTTGGACTTTGATAGAAGAACAAATGTTGATTTCTGCTTTGAAAGACACTGTTGCGCGTGGGTGGAAATGTGAAAACGGGTTCAAAACAGGTTATCTAGCTACACTAGAGGGTGCGATGTCTGTTTCGTTTCCCGGGACAGACTTGAAGGCTGAGCCCCACATCCATTCTAAAATTCATGTTTGAAAAAAGACTTACGGTTTATTGAGTTCAATGCTGTCACATAGTGTATCGGCTAGAATGACTCATCATCTACGATTGATGTGCAAGATGATGAGGACTGGAATGACTACATGAATGTATACTTTATGTTATTATAAATTATAAAAAGTATGCATGCTAATGACATTTGCTAACTTATAAAATACGTTCACATTTTTAGACCGACCCAGCTGCCCGTACAATGCGCTACAAGGCATGGCCTTACTACAAGGACTGGCTTGTCATATTTGGCAAAGACCGGGCCACTGGGGAGCATGCCGAGGTCTACGTTGAAGCTGTGAATGACTTAATTGGTTCTTCGAAGGGTAAAGAACCGACCAGTGTTGGTGGTGGAAATGTTTCTTTAGGAGACGCATCGCTTGATGGTGACATTACTTCATTTGTGTCTACCAGAGGAGAGGGTGCAACTATCCCTAAAACCACTCGAAAAACGAAGAAGAAAAGGGCCTGCGTCGATGACGTAGACCTTCAATTGGTTGACATGATGGCGAAGTTATTCGACAAAGCCGACCAAAAATTGGGGCGCCTTGTGAAAAGGGTTGGTTTTAATTTCGATGTGTCGGAATCGAGGAAAAAGGTTTTCGATGCCCTTAGCTCGTTCGAATACTTGACTGGCGAGGACAAGTTGCATGTGACCAAGGTTCTATGTGAAACGGGCAAGGACATGGACATCTTCTTCAGTGTCAACGACGAACACAAGGAGCTAATGGTGGCGATGATTCTTCAAGGGCGTTATTAAATTAAAATAATGAATATTTGTTCAAACTATTAGTAATCGTAAAAATATTATTCCTACATGTCTATCGCCATTTTTTGATGTAGTATAGGCGGCGATCAACCTCGAAAACCTTATCATTCGCTCACTATTTGTGGTAATGTTTGGTGAAGTATGTATTAATATATGGACGTAGTGTGTTTGTACTAAATACTTTTTGTAGTATTAACGGTTCAAATTTTTTGATGTAGTAATTGTGAAATGTATTATTCCAGCTATTTGTTTTTCATATACAACATCAATAGAACAAATAAACAAGGTAGATCAATAAAATTATGTAGGAGCAACAAAATAATATTAATAGACCTGTGAACACATATTGATGCCAAAATAAATTGCACTGTCGTATTAATACAATTTGGAAATTAAAGTGCTTACAATCATTGAAATATTTTTAATTCCAAAAAAGGACAAAACAACACACACACGAAACATTCTAGAATTATATAAATAATGCCGATTGAAAAATTAGATTTTGGTTTCATCAAACAGTCCTCTCATATCTCCGAGTTATTCGAACAAATTGAGGATAGCTGTCTTATCTTTTTTTGTATAAGTTCGATTGTTACCAGATTTTGGACTCGAATTTGGGTTGGTCCGTATCCCAAAATAATATTAATAGACCTGTGAACACATATTGATGCCAAAATAAATTGCACTGTCGTATTAATACAATTTGGAAATTAAAGTGCTTACAATCATTGAAATATTTTAAATTCCAAAAAAGGACAAAACAACACACACACGAAACATTCTAGAATTATATAAATAATGCCGATTGAAAAATTAGATTTTGGTTTCATCAAACAGTCCTCTCATATCTCCGAGTTATTCGAACAAATTGAGGTAGCTGTCTTATCTTTTTTTGGATAAGTTCGATTGTTACCAGATTTTGGACTCGAATTTGGGTGGGTCCGTATCCCAGCAGCACCACAGTTGAAAGAGTTTGCGTCACTATAAATTGTTTTTTATGAAACCTCGGAGTCAAAGTAGTAATTCAAATAGTCGGAAATGTTGAATTCCTTACTCTTTTCCGAAGTAGACGAAATATGGACGACGGAAATTATACCTTTTTCAGCTTGTGCAACAGGGCCTTGTGGGACAGCCACCACGTTTTCTTCGTTCGGTTCACCCTCGCTATCGGATGATAGTATAACAACGTCGGGGCAAAGTTGAGCATACTCCACAACATCTTGGAAAAGAATCGATAACTCTTGCCATTTTGATTCACCGGATATACGGTATTGGTATGCAGAATACTTCTCCTACAACAATGGATATAAAAAAAAATCCATTATACACACATTAAATATCGATGGTGATTATATATAGTTCTGGTTTACCTTCATTATGTAATCCCATATTACACCGGTAGCAGTTACAATGTTGGTTTCCGGATTATAGTACACACCATCTAACTTCAATAACCATTGGAAGTTTCCAAAACGATCACTAAGGAGGCCAAGTTTTTTTAGCAAGAAATCTTTGGAGAAAAACAGTCCGTGCTTCGTTGTGAACATATCTTGTGCTAGGAACAAAGAGCCATCTGTTTTGTCGGGCCAAACAAAGCTACCAAGTTGCACTTCAACGACCATGAAGTCAATGAAAATAGTTTCAATGTCTTCAAACCAATTTATTTGCATTAAGAACTCTCCCCTTCGAAATAGTGGCTGTTTTTTCGGTGCCATAATATTTTGAAGACTTGAATAGCCAATGAACATTACCACATACTTTACACATTTTATTTCCTTTTTTTATTAATAAAATAAAATAATTCACATAATGTGCAATTATTTTTAGCAATCAATACAAATGGGTTGGTAAATGTCTTTTCTTAAATTTTACATCAAGCCTTTTCCAAACAATCCCAACTACTTAATTTATTCCAACAATTAAGAACATGTTGTCATTACTTATTGAAACTTATTTGCTTAGCAGAAAGAATAAAGAATACAGACAGTTGGCATTAATTCATGCATTGGAGAACAAGTTCTCGGCTGATGTGAAAATAAGGCGAATTGCAGTCATTTAGTGCTACGAAACGTAAAGAAGAGTGCATTGCAATAAATATTTGAATGACCTCTCATCTACTACCATTTCTAGAGTAAATGCATGCTTCCCTTTCTACCTATATAAACATATAACCATCCATGTTTAGAGCAGGTTGTAAAAACAATTTAAAACAAATTAAAACTAAGCAAAATGCCAAAAACACGAAATCAAATAATCAATGGGTTATGCAACTCCGATGAATGGCCGTTAAGTTACGACTTGGTGATGATGCATGCAATCCATGAGAATAGCATTCAACTGGAAAACCTAGATACAGTTGAGGTTTTCAACAGCGTCCTACACCGCGCTACAGAGGAGATTTGTGACTACATTTCACAAGAAATCACTTTTGAAGATGTGAAACTAAGAGTTCATATCATTCGAAGGCGATTTTATGCGTTCTTAAAGTACATTTCAAAGCCCGGAGTCAAGTTCAACCCTTGCACGAAAAATATTGCAGTCGACATGGTTATATTCTCCAAGGACAATAAGGTATTTATTTCGGGAAAGTATTTATAAATTGTATTTTAGGATGAATGTTCTTCTAACAGTGGTTAATGAATATTTTATGCAGGAGACATGGGAGGCACGTTGGTTTCGTGTCAACGGTTTTCCTGTGTGCGACACATGCGTGATCATATTTCATATTAAGAATGCCGCTCCAATAGACTTCACCGGCATGACAGGGTATTCTTAAAATGAGCCACTAGTTAATGAAGACGGGGAAGACAGTGAAGGGTCAGAAAAGGGTGTGGGGGAAGCTGTTGATGGAAAAGAACCTGTGAATGAAAATATGGAAGGCATATATGGTCATGAAGGAAAAGAACCTGGCCATGGAAAAATGGAAGGCATATTTGGTCAAGTTGGGGAAGATGTTGGTGAAGCTGGGGAATATGTGGTTGCTGAGTCGAAGGAGATGTAAAATTAGGTGGGGTCTACTATAATATCTACTAATGTGTTAGAAGATGTTTTTAGAACAGAATATTTCACAAAAACTCACCACACCAGTGTCATAGAACAGAATATTTCACAAAAAACACATATTAAAATTACGAAGTACACAACACTACTTACACATGTAATAAACAAATATAATTATAGACACAACAAGTATTGCCTCCCTTATTGTAGGTAAGTAAGAGTGCTTACTTGTTGGAATCACTTTGTTCAATTGTGCATCTACTAGCTGCTGTTTTATCAGTTGTAATTCAGTTTCGAGTCTATTGATTTTTTTCAGCAAACCGGGAATAATCAGTTTTGCTCGGTCGCACATCGGAGGATCGTACCATCTGGATAGGTCACAACTTTGCACCTACAAAACGATCCACATTTAAAAGTACCATTAATGAATTAAAAAACCAAATTAGACCACCACCAATATGAACAACAACTTCATTTGAATTATATCAGTTATATGTCAAAAGATCCCCAATATAGTTAGATCTGCAATTTCGTAAACAAAAAATACTTTGCAACCCCAAAATACAAAAAATTGAACAACAACAACAACATAAATTCATAATACTTACAACTCTTCGAGGACACGAGATAAATCGACGCCCATGATTTTTATCTGACCAAGAAGTTTGCAAACCCATCTTCAAATTGCAACCACATAACCCAAAATCGTTTGGGGTAAAGTTGTCTTCACGGAAGGTTTTGTGAGATGCGCTTCCGTTGATGGACCCAGAGCTCATCTCCAAATGTATTAGGTCGGAGCAGAATCGACTGAGAAAAAATTGAAAGAAATCGACCGACTTCGAGATTTCTCTCTTCAAGAGAGAAAACGATTTTATATACATATGATATGAAAATATTATATTACAATTTATTATTATTCTTATAAAAAAGGGCATCTTAGTATATTTGTCAATAATTATATTATCACACACAAAACAAACGTGTGAGTAATTTATCAACATAAATTTACTCAAAAAAAGCAAACAAGAGGATAGCAAAATTACATAATCATCTCCACCACAAATCTATCTAATCTATACTAACATACTAATCCTTACAACAAAAGCAAAAGGGCCCATAGAGTATATATTAATCACTCATTTTAGGCAATAGAATATTAATTGAATAGGGGCTATTACAAATAAACACATCATGAACTACTTATTCATAAAGAGGACCAGACCAAAAGTTTTTTTTACTAAAAAGTTCATACGAAGTCTAGAGGTGTGTAAAAGACTAAAATACCCCATCACATTTCAATATGCTTCAATTTCATCAATTTAACCAAATGTAACCTCATTTGACCCCAAATTTGACCAATTATTCAATTTTAGCCATTTACCACATTTTGACTCCAATTTTGACTCCAATTTTCCTCAACATATTTTGGCCTCCGTAAAAACATTAATATACTGTGGTTGAAAATAATATTAATTATATTACTATTTAACACAATCATATTGCTATATTACTATCTAGTACAGTAATATTATTATGTTGACCGGTCAACAAAGGCAAATATAATGAAAATGCAAAAAAATATGTTGTGGTTGATAGTAATATTAGTAAACTATCAACCATATTGATATTATTGTGTTTACAGTAATTCTAGTGTCAACCAAAGTAATATTACAATACTAGACAATAATAATATTACGTCGATCGGTTAACAAATCAATCAAAAGAAAAGGACAAAAATAAATAAATAATATTGATGTGGTTGACAATATTATTATTGTGTTTACAGTAAATTAAGTATCAATCACATTAATATTAAAATAGTACATAGTAATATTATTATGTTGATCGATCAACAAATCAAACAAAATAAAAAAGCCAAGAAAATAATGTTGATGTGGTTGACAATAATATTAATTGTGTTTACCTTAATTTTACTGTCAGTGGCAGTAATATTACTACTATTGGTTAGCGGCGTGCGGAAAAAAAGAAGT